AAATGGTACTTTTAATGTAAGGGCCTAAGTGGTTAACCCTAATTGGATCTTGTCATCCCAATGGCTTAAACAAAGCAATATAAAATATATATATATATATAGGCAATTCTGCAAGAGTGACAGTCATAACATTTGACACTCTTTAAGCTATTAATAATCAACCGAAAATGGAAATGATTTGAAACTTTCCAGAAATGTGAAATACTATCATCTAATTTAGTATGCAAAAGTTACAGCACTTAAGTCTTAAATTTTTTTTGAAAATTAACTCTATGTAGGGTGATGGTCATAACATTTACTTTTTACCACTTCTGAACAAAACAACTTTGTCAGACTTAATCCAGCGAATGGCATGGTAAAAAAAAAAAAATGATTTGGTGTATGCATTTAGCACATATTGATATATATATATATATATATATATATATATATATATATATATATATATATATATATATATATACATTCTTACTTAGTCATCTTTAAATTTTATAAAATAAAAAAAATTAAATTTAATGGTTTTTACATAAAGCGTTCTTAATTTTGTCATCTTTAAAGACAAATTTAACTTTTTGTTGTTATTTTGAGCATAAATTTAATTGTTCAGTATTTAATGAATATTTTGTTGTAAATTTATTGCAACTAACTTATGTGTCAATTTATAATAATATGAAATAAATTTATTGCAACTAACTTATGTGTCAATTTATAATAATATGAAATAAATTTTAGTATTTTGAAAGTAAAAAATGCCAAAAATAAAAAATTGAGGTTCTGCGCAATCCAAAAGTGAAGAGAGTTATGGTGGTTATTTTTGATTCTTGATGCAGCTCTTGGATATGCTCTGCTCCATAATATCAGAGATCTATGTTATTGATATTAATCAAGAGTTAATATCAGTAATACTCGAATTGATAAATGTAAACTTGTCAAAAAAAGTTAAAAGTGAAAATAACTTTAGAAAATGCAGATTAAGAAGGGAAGCCACACTTATTTTGGATTGTTATAGACAGAAAGATACATAAAAATTCAGATGTACTCAAACACAAACATGTCTGCAGGCAAAAATTTCATAACAAATTGTGTTACTGCAGAACACCATCTTAATTAACATATGAGGATGGCAATCTCAAGTGATCTATTTGACACACAGAACAATACTGATTGTTGGTGCAACTGGGGATGTTCTTACTTGTGAGACATTTAGTATACTTGAAGAATAAGATGTACAGAAGAACCTGGAGAAAATTCGTAATATTCTTTTAGATAATATGGCACCAAAAACTGGTTGGAGGAGTGGTTTGGTGGTTAGTCTAAAAGAGATGATATGAAGGAAACTTCACATACTTCATACTTCATAGGTTGTAGTCTTTATCAAAATAAATTCCTATTACAAGCCCTTTTTAAAAAATTGGATGGAAAAACATCTAGACCATAAAAATTTAGTTGGAAAAATGGGATACAATGCTTTGAAGAAACTCATTGTAAACCTCAAGTACAGTTTAAAGCAATCCAAAACTGAATTACTTAAGGTTTTTTTTTGAGACCATATTTCAGATGAAATACTAAAAATTTTTAGTCTTATTCAAAGGCTTCTGCAAGTATTGCAAAAGTATTGGATTAGATAAAGTATAAATGGCTACTTTCTACTAAACCATGCTTGATGTGTCTTCCAACACAAATCTTTAAAAGCTTATATATTACATTGTTAAAGTTATGTCATATTTTAAAATAAAAAAAATCTTTTAAACTGCAAAACCGATTCTAATGAATTATTTTCCAGATTTTATTATTCACTATTAACAAAATAAATTTTATTGAGTTGTAATTTTTTTATTGTAATTTTATTGAAGATGTAAAAAGAATTTAAAAAAAACAAAAACATTCAAGGTAATGTTTTCTGTTTAGCATCTGTAAATTTTCTCTACACAAGTAACGATGAGCAAATCAGAGTTCTTAGATTTGAAAAGACATCAAACTTTGGATCAGACAGACATAAACTTTGCAATATTAGTTTATCTATTCATTTATTGCAGCTGTATACAAAACTTTTTAAAAAAAATATGCAGTATGCTATATATATTATCATTATAGGATGGTATTATGTTTTACACTAAATATTTTTAAAAATAACAATAGTTTTATTTTTAGATTCCTCAAGTGAATTGGAATGCTGCGAGCTGGATATCTTTGATTGAGACTGCTGATTATACTTATTTGGAAATAGAACCACCGACTACAAAAGATGTCGAAAAGATTACGAAGAAGTTTATACTTTTATTCAAAGTAAAATAAAGCTAAATATTCAAGACCTTGCCCCTTTTTGAGAGGTATGTAAAAGTAGTTTCAGAAACATTTAATAAAGTATATGGATTTAAAGTCATAAACTATACTTAAACTGCTTAGCCAAAAATTTTGTAACAGGTTTATTTTGAAAAGGATATTATTTTCAGTCATGCAATGATATGTTTGCTTAACTATGTTGCATTGAAATAATTAATTAGTTTTAGTTTTATAATGTTATATATTTTATAATGACTTATTTCATGAACAATTGGTCAATTATTTAACTATTGTAATGTTAATTTGATACTCAAATTAACCTGAAAAAAAAAAATAAAAAATGTATACATAAAGTATCTAATATAAATATAAGCTTTTGCTTGTTTTTCTATTGAAATTTTTGTGAAAATTTGTGTAAAAAAATAATAAAATACTTCATAAAAAAAAGATAACCTCTATCAATTATTTCAAACAAAATTTATTTTGTTTGAAATAAATTGAGTTTTTTCTGGGTGTCTAAAGTTTTTTTGAATTAAATTTTATAATAAAATAATGAAAAATATAACACTACAAGCAAAAAGATGTTTAAGAAGATAATAACTGCTGATGAAAAAACTAATAAAATTTGATTGATTATCCGCAAGCCATTTAACTAAATTTTTAATTTTATCTATTATAATTTTGTTTTCAATTTAATCTTATATGATAAATGCACCTTTCAGTATCTATATATTAATAGGTTTGAGAAATAAACCTACCCTCACATAATATATATTATATATATATATATATATATATATATATATATATATATATATATATATATATATATATATATATATATATATATATATATATATATATATATATATATATATATATATATATATATATATATATATATATATATATATATATATATATATATATATATATATATATATATACTATGTGACCACGGAAATAATATTTAGTTGCAAAAAGCTGGGCAGATTTTTTAGTCGTTTTGAGAACATTTCAAAATGCAAAAAAAAATGCGCGAAAGATTAATTAGACCGATGAGAGACAATTACAAAAAATTAATATAAAAAAATAGGAAAATAACTTAAAACAAAATAAATTACGTTTAGAACAAATATTTTCGAAACATCGCTCTTTTATAATTTTTCTATAAAATTAAGCAATGTTTTTTATATAAAGTAACATCATACGATTGTTTAAAAAGGAAACAAATGTTCTTTATTTAACAAATTTTGCAAGTTTCAGTTTTATCTAAGCTAAATTATTTTATAAATATAAAAGTTAATTTTTTTAATGCCTATTTTATTTTTCGCGTAGTTTGAAGAGTTTAACATATTTGAAACAATTCTTCTTAGTAAGATAAACAAATGAAATAATTAAATCATTGAATTACTATAGAAACTAAATTAACTAGGTTAAAAATACTTTATGACGAGGAAGCAAAACTGCTTCACAATATCGCTGATGATGTTTAGTGAGTGGGCTTTTTAATTTTAATTAGTATTTAAAGCAGAAAAAAGTATAACAAGTTTTTAAGAATGGCAATTTAAGCGAAAATAATTAGAATTAGTAAACCAATATCTAGAAACTTTTCTATATATCTAATAACTTGCTACATATTTGTGTTTTTTTGTGACCTCAGGCGCAGTGCTTGTTCATCCGCAAGTTACTTTGTATACATTGTTTGTGTTTAGTAACCAGAAACTTCTTATATGTTTGTTATGTAATTAGTTTTATTAACTTTAATGATTATTAATAACTTCATTGAAAACGCAATTATTCTTGTAAGTCTTTGTTTACTAATTATATCATAAAATTGCTTTAAAAGATTACAATATGATAAAAAACAGGTACAATTACATTTAAATAAAAAATACATACTTTTTAAATAAAAAATTAGAATCTACTAATAAAATCTTTAAGTTATAATATATTTTTTGAACCAATAAAATTTGTTTGTTAATTTGGCAGGTTTTTAGTGTTCGCGAATATTCTTTTTATTCTTCCGCACCAAGATGTTTTGAGAACATTCAAGTTTTTTATGTTTCCATGTATGTCCGTAAAACAAAAATTTTTTGTTTCGTAAATAAACTTAAATGTTCTCAAAACAACTAAAAAACCTGCCCAGTCTTTTGCAACTAAATATAATTTCCGTGGTCAGTATTCAAGAATGATCGCTCCTGCTTCCTGACCAAGCCTAATATATATATATATATACTTTGTGATGAAGTGGGAGCAATTGCTCTGCGCACGTCAAACAAGCTCGTCAAACAACTTTTTAGGCGCGACAAATAGCACTCACTAGTTTCGTTACAAGAGTAAAAAATTGCGCTCATATGAAGAACTTGTGAGGGAGAAAAATATAAGTTTATTTTATATCAAATATTTTTAGTAAAATTTTTTTGCTGAAGTCAAAATATGTTTAAACAGCAGAGTTTACATATTGTTAAATAAAGAAGTTACATTTGTAATAAAGTACGCCACGCATATTTTATGCGTGACATCCTTTAAATTTAATTTATACAGTATAAGTTCAAATTAAAAATGATTTTTTTCTTCTAAATCCAGCATGTTTTTTTTTAAATAAATTCCAGTTGAACTTTATTATACTATCTGCTTAATCGCACCTCTCGCTAACTCGTATAATTTTTTAGGGTCCATTTGATAAAAAACTTCGCTTGACTAGAACTTTTACTTTGAATTGCATAAAAGTCCATGTAATAAAATATTAAAACTTGCAACACTTCAATAAAAAATCTCGTTTAACATTTATAAATATCTAGCATAATATTTATAAACATCTTATAAATCTATATCTAGCATAAAAAATTTATCAAACTAAAACTTAAAGCTTCAATTTTGTACAGGTTCGATCACATTCTATTAATTAATGACTATTATATTTAAAATTCAAAAACATCAAAACATTCGAATATAAAATATTTTTTGTCAAATATAAATTAATAAACTTAATATTTTCACTGGTATCTTTAAATCAGTTAAACTTATATTAAAGTCTAGTTAAAGCTAAACGCAACTTAAAATTACTTTGAAAATTCAATTTTTTCTAAATTCTTTGTAGTAAAACACTTTTAAATTAAAATAAAAACATATATTAATTTTTTGCTTTTATTTTTTCTGGTTTATTTTTTATTCATTTTATCATTTGGTAAAATTTTAATTTTTTTAATTTAGCTTTTAATTTAGTATTTTTTATTTTTGTTTCTCTTTCCAATTTATAGTTAGTTTATTTTTAGTAAAAGTTTACATTTGTTTATTCAGCACATTTTTTAAATACACTAACTTAAATTTATATGCATGATCATTAAAGCCATTCAACCACACGCAACTCCTGAGAATGCTTGATTTACATATACATATACATACATATATATATATATATATATATATATATATATATATATATATATATATATATATATATATATATATATATATATATATATATATATATATATATGTATATGTATATATATATATATATATATATATATATATATATATATATATATATATATATATTTTTTTTTTTTTTTTTTTCTTTATGTATAAACTTAAAATTTATAAATAATTCTTACAATATTTTGAAAAACTTGTCTTTTTTTTCTGGATATAATATCTTGTGTTGTGGAATTACTGTATAAAGCCTAAAAGTTAAAAAAACGTTTCATCATCATCATGATGATGATGATGATGATCATCATCATCATCATCATCATCATGATCATCATCATCATGATCATCATCATCATGATCATCATCATCATGATCATCATCATCATCATCTTGATCATGATCATCATGATCATCATCATCATGATCATGATCATGATCATCATCATCATCATCATCATCATCATCATCATCATCATCATCATCATAACAGTTTTAAAGTAAACAAAAAAACTCACAGTATAGTTGTTAATGTTTAAGTTATTCTGCAGTGGATTGCATTGAACACTATCAACCTAATAAAAAAAGCATATTTTATGAATAAAAAAACCTAATGTAATTAATTTTTAAATACTATTTAAATATCGTATATAATAAATATATTTACTTATGATTTATTTCTAAACGTTGCTAAAAATGGTATAATTCTTACTCTCATATCTACTACATATATCAAATCAAAATTTCGCTTATTCACAACAAAACTTATTTCTGAAGATATTGTATCTACAGGAAAACGACCAGCATTTTGAATCTAAATAAGAAAACAAAACTTTTAGTTTGTATACAAAGTGTCTTTATTATTTTATATTATAAAATATTTATGAATGCTACATCTTTAAAAAGCAATAACATAAAAGTAAATAGTCACAAAGATAAAAAAAGTTTAACAATACATAGAATGTAAAGTTGACTTCTGGGCCAATATCAACCACTGATACATATTTAGATGGAGGGCTGAAATTTTTCTTGTAATATATTGAAGTTGGAAAAACTTGACTAAATAAAAATTTGTTAAAATTTTACTAAAAAAACATTTGAAAAATATAATTCAATTGATAAGAAAAATTTTATAAAAATTAACATAAAAATTGGTTTACCCTTGTACACGCACACAGGTTGCAATCATTGTAGGAACTTGAAGAGTAACATTATTATTGCTTGGATTTACATCAACTCCATAACTAACATCAATTGGAAATTAAACACAAATAAAAAAAAATTAAATGGATCAAAAAAGAATATTAGACTGACTAAAAAAAAAAAAAAAATATTACAAAATATAATGCAAATATATTACAAAAAATAAACATTGACATTGTTTTTTAATAAATTTTTTTAATGTAGAAAATATATGAAATGATGGTAACTAAGAGCACTGAGAAAACTTTAAAAATACTGGAAACAAGGCTAAGTTTAGCTATATGTATTTTATAGAACATATGATTGATTTAGCAGAACTTTGAAAAATTAATTTGAAAAAAAAATTACCTAAACAAGCTAATTTAGTAGAAAAAAATTTTTTGCAGATAAAAATTTACAAATATATTAAGTTCAATTTAAATTTGCAAAACTGGTACTTTAAAAGATATTACCACAATATGATAACAACATGGCAGCTCTGATTCTATAAAACTCTTAAAATTTTGTCCACCACATAAACTTATTTTAACATCTTCTTATGTACTTATATACAAAACTCTTCATCAACAAAAAAGTTGGCAAAAGTCACTTTGTCAACTCTAAGTTAATTTTTGAAGACTTTAAATACCTCATATATATAAAACTAATTTATATAAAACCAGTTATACAGTCTTATGATTTTTATAATAAGATTTCCTTTTTCTACAAAAAATATATTTATATATTATTTATACTTATGAAGTTATAATTATCATCACACTTACGATGTTGTTGTCATTTGAAAAATATATACAGGGGTTGAAGGACTTGATAAAGGAATCGAAAACCTTGCAAGAATGTCAATCTATAGAAAAAAGTAACAACAATTTATTATAATCATTGAAAAAAAAAAACATTTAAAAAACTAATTTTAGATTTTTGAAAAGTATTAATGGCCAGTGGGCTGACTTAAGCTGGGCAAGGCCAACAAGTTGACAAATAACTAGAGGTGGCTAGAGAATTTGGATACAGAGTGAACTCTGAAGCACAGATGTTTGAGAGAAAAAAACATTTTTTGCTATTTTTATATTAACTATTTTTTGTTGCTGCAAAAAACAAAAAAATTTTAAAATTAACTAACAAATTACACAAAATCACACAAAAATAGTTAGTGTTATGATCAAAAATTTATGCTGTGGTAGTTTAATGGTAGAGCATTTGAGCACATCTGGCCATGATAAAAAGAGATTCGTTTTGAATGAATTATTAAAATAAAAAAGATAAAATGCATGACATAGTCCCATCCCATCAGAAAATAAATTTTTCCGTACTTGTCGAATACACACAAGGAATATAAACGCTTTATAATAGTTGAAAAACATACAATGATAGAGAGAATTATATACAGAAGTAGAATATAAGTGAGCAAGTGTTATAGAGAGATAAACCATGTTAAAAATTGTCTAAAGGAAATTGAGAAAATTAGGTAGGAGAATCCTGTCTTAGTGAATGAGAGATTGCAAAAAAATGCAAAAGGTAAAACTTTCACTAGTACTTTAAACAAATTTTACAAGTTTTTTTTTTAAAAGAAGTATATGTAATGTATAATAATAACTTACACTTTGGTTTGATTTCTGAGCATTAGAAACAAGAATTGATAGCTCTTGAGTTATTGGATCCACCTTTACAGGATTCAATGAAGGATACGGTTGCTACAATTTGAAAAAAAAGGAATTTATTTGAAATATACTTAGATAAACAACTTTTAGTTAATGTTATTTTAATTAGTTGATCTTGTTTTAAAAACATGAAAATAATTAAAAGTTGTAAAATTAAAAAAAAAAAGGGAAATTAAAAAACTCTAAAATATTTTATTACAACTCAAAATATTATTAATGAGAAAAACAAAAGTTTTTCTCATTAATAATATTTATTTAAATATTAATAAACATGTATTTAATTATGTAAATTACTTTAATTTTGCTGTACTAATGACAACTACTGGGTACTTATATTCATTACAATGTATAAAAATTTTGTTTGAATTATTTTTTTTTTCTTCAGAAAATTACCTTTAAAAAGTTATAAACAAAAATTTAGAACAACAATAAGAAAATGAAAAACAAACCCCATTAATAGTCACTGATATCACTTGTAAATCTAAACTAAACAAAATATTCATGCTTGACTGGTATGCAGTGTCGCCATAATTTATAATTTGAGAAAAAACAGCTACTTCATAAATAACACCATATATAATTTGAGTTTGTTGTGAGGCTCTATAAAAAAATTAAAAATAATATTTATAGTTTTTTTAACAGTCATTTTAAAAAAGTTATTTATAGTTGCAATAATTACTTAAAAAAAAGTAAACAAATTAAACAAATACAGCTATATATATATATATATATATATATATATATATATATATATATATATATATATATATATATATATATATATATATATATATATATATATATATATATATATATATATATATATATATATATATGTATGTATATATATATATTTATATATATATGTATATATTTATATATATTATTGGACAAAACATTTGAAACCAACATCGAACAATGCTAAAAAGTGTTCCTAATTTTACATGTCTTAAAAACAAAACGAACTATACTACTACAGCAAATAGTTCAGGAGTCTGGAAACATAGCATGCCATGACATGAGCAATCAGCTGAAAGGTGACAGCACACAGGCAGAATTTTGTTGACAAGTGCCATTTTGCAGCGGACAAAACAAGTGCAACTTTATTGGGTTGTTTCATTTTCTTAAGTCTAGTCCGTGTCATCACGGAAGTTTTTTAATAATTAAAGGAAGTATCCAGAAGTTTCAAGAAGTATGTAGAAGCTTCCAGAAGTTTCCAGAAGAAGCATCTAGAAGCATACAGAAGCATCCAAAAGTATCCAGAAACATTCAGAAGCATCCAGACGCATCCAGAAGCTTCCAGAAGCATCAAAAAGAAGCATCTAGAATCTTCCAGAACAGGTTCACACAGGTTCATTTTCATATATAAGAGACATGTAAACCGACATGTAATTCAATCAGTATATGGAAGTCAATCCGTCAGTATTATCAAGACAGTGTATCGAAGTGAGTTTTATCAAAGTGTTTTGTCAAAGAACATCAGTACAAGAAATGAAATACAACAAGTGTTTTATTACATCAATACAGTCCACATCCAACCAAGACGTTGTGTTCTACAGGGCATTATTGTATCATCTCAAGGTAAATGTAACATGGTAAGCCTTGAGAAGCGTGATTATTTATTTTTATTATTTTTATGACTTCAAGTGCAAAAATGGCTCCCGACAGTCTTGGATTGGAACTAAGAAAGAAAATTATTGGCGATTACGTAAGTGGATTGTCACAAAAAAATATTTGTATTTAATATCGCGTGAAAAAATGGACCGTATCAAGACTATGTTCCAAATATTGTTCTACGGGGAAGGTGGCAGCAGATAACAAAGGTGGAAGACTGCGTTCCACCACTTCTAGAGAGGATTCTATGATCGTCAGATCCATCAAGAAGAATCCCTGGATATCATCAGTTGAGATACATAAGCAATTAGAGCTGCCTGTATCGGACCGAACAATCAGACGACATGCTGTTGAAGCCAGATTGTTTTCTCAACTCCCTGCAAAGAAACTGCTGATTTGACTAAAGAAACAGAAGAAAAGACTCATGTTTACTTGATTTACGTTATTGCCATAAGACCGTGAAGCATGGTGGAGGCAATGTAATGGTCTGGGGGTGTTTTTCTGCTAACGGTCTAGGTTCAATACATCGAATCGATGGAATAATGGACCGGTTTATGTATAAAAATATCCTGAAAGATGTTATGTTACCTCATGCTGAATGGAATATGCCAATAAAATAGGTTTTTCAGCAATACAACGATCTGAAAAACACTGCAAAAGTAGTCAAGTAGTGGTTTCAAGACAGCCAACTATCGGTGATGGATTGGCCACCTCAATCTCCAGATCTCAACCCTATCGAGAACCTGTGGTAGATCGTCAACCGCAGAATTATTCGTGAAGGTGTTCGTAATAAGGATCAACTGTTTGAACAAATCCAAAAAGCCTAGGGAGCTATTCCACAAAGTTTCATTGATCACCTGATCGAATCCATGCCTCGAAGATGCAAGACTGTGATCAACAACATAGGATTCGCCACAAAATATTAATAGTGAAATACACATTTTGTGGAGTTGCACTTGTTTTGTCCAGAAGGAAAGCAACTTTTTTTTAATACTTTTGATTAATTTATTAATTTTTGTGTACAAATAATGAACTTTGTGATAAAAAAAATTTGAAGAACGTTGTCTCTAAACAGTTACATAGTTATTTCTCTAAATTGAAAAAATGCAGCACTTTTATATAAAGAAACTAAATTAGCATTATTTGGTTGCACTTGTTTTGAACGATACTGTATATATATACAGGCCTTGTGATGAATAAAAACTGCGGGACGCATAAGCACGACATGATTTTTGACGTCATTAAATGTTATTATTTTAAAATGTTTTGGAATGTTTCGTTTTTTAAAATGTAAAAACATTTTTTTATTGTCTCAACGTTTGACACGTTTTGTCTATACTAAACAAACAAAAAACATTATAACTAAACATTTAAAAATGATTATAAAATATGCTAATACTTGATTTTTTTTTTTTCCAAATATGTATTTCAAAGTTTTTCAAATAATTATTTTTTCTTTTTAAAAAGTCAGTGAGTAATAAACTGGAAATTTTAATATTGTACGATTAAAAACTGTGCAATAGCTAATGTTTTTACTAGCGATTTTATATAATATTTATTTATTTATTTTTATTTATTTTCATAAAGCGGTTAATAAGCACAATCATTCGCATTACTAAAAAGACTTGAACGAACGTTTTGAATAGATTTTTAATGTTTACAAGGAATTTTATTTTTGGTAAAATGAAATAAAATAAAATTTTAGAATAAAAATCTTATAGGTATAAAAGACATATTTCAGCGAAAAAATTATTCTTAAAAATTAAAATGAAAAATTATTCAAAAAACTATTGACGTTCTATTTTTTAGCAGCTGTTAGTGAGCACGCTTCGTTGAGTTTCGGTAACTTTTAACAAAAAAGCGATTGTTATTATTTAAGTAATTTTTTTCGAGTTACTTTTTACAAAAATTTTAATAACTGTACTTTTTTATTAAATCAAGTAGAATACATTTTAATATTAATTTTTTTATTTTTTTTTATTTGCGCTTACCAATTTTTAAAATGTTTCCTCGAAATAACTCTTAAATACTTTAAATACGTTTAACAGTTAATAAATATTTTTAAATCTATGGAATAATTTTAAAACCTAACAAACCCCATTAAATAATTATTTAAGTTAAAAATCTAAAACTAAAAGAAAGTATTTTTGTTCAATTTTATCGACAACTTTGCTATTGCTGAATAATTTTATTAAAATTTTAGCTTAAAAAAATTTTAACTTTTTTTTAATCTGAACTTTTTGTACTTGTAAATAATGAGCATATTTAATTTTTTTGTAATTCAAAATTTTATATCAACTGCATGCGGTTTTTAAAATACTTTATTAAATGTTAAAATAATCGTAAACTACTTCATTAAAATTCTAAAACTCAAACAAAAAATTTTTTGCTCTACGCAAATAGCCCTAGCTACACGCAAAATCGCACTTGGACGACGTAAAATTCACATCACCCGACACTTTATCGCAAGGCCTGATATATATATATATATACATATATATATATATATATATATATTATTCATAGAAGTTAAAATAGCTTAAAAAATTTTTTACCCAGGTAATTGTATTATTGAAGACATTGATAAATCTGTGTAGCAGATGTTATTTTTGCATTTCTTCAAATATGTTACCTATAAAAAAATATTTAATTTGCATAAACAATATTTATTCATAAGCTTGCCAATGACAAGAGGAGATTAAAACTAAAAGACTTTTAGTCTTTTAGTTTTAATCTCCTCTTGTCATTTTAAAGTATTATTCTCCTCTTTATATTATAATTTTACTTTATTCACTTCACATTTTAAATTCATTCATTATCTTAAACATTTTAAACAAAAGAATTACTAAATTTTTTTTTTTACATCTTCACTTCCAACAAGGCTGCAAATAACCATTATTAGAGTTAGAAGTTACTGGAAAAGAAAAGATGAAGTTTATAAAGCAGTATAACAATTAACAGATGACTTAAAAGATTGCAAATTAAATGAACCAGGAAAACATGATGAAGGGAGCAAATTTCAAAGAACTAATGTTCGAGGAAAAAAACTAGAAGAAAAAGAAAATAAGCAACATTATAACGATGTGACAATGGCTAAAGGTTGGCTGCAAGAGCAGATCCAAATATATTTTTTGTACCATGTCTAAATGAGAAAAGCCATCATTGTTAGATCCGCTACAGATATTGCAACAGTATTCTATACAAGGACAGATTAGAGATTTTTAGAGATATAAAACTCGGAGTAAAAATAGAAGCGCAATAAAGAGATGCAACCTTAGATTAGAACAAATTTTATAACTTATTTTTATACACTATAAACAATTACAAAAAATTATTTAAAAAAACACAATAAACAAAAAAAGAATAACAAAAAAAATTTCAAAATAAATTTTAAAATTACTTGAATACTGCCAGTATTAATTCCATATAAATCTAAAATAGGACACGTGGTATTTCCGCATCCTAAAGGACTCTGATACTCTTTATAACTGGTAGTGATTGTAATAGGATTCAATAGGTCTACTTCACCCTAACACAAATATTTATAAATCAAAATTTATAAATAAATAAATCAAAATTTATAAATCAAAATTCTCCTAAATAATAATATTTAATAAATGTGCACACAAGTAACAATAAACAATTTTTTGTAATGTAGTAATGAGTTTTTATATAAGGTAGTAGTGATTTATTATGTAATATAGTAATGAGTTGTAATTTAATATAAAAATAATTTGTAATGTAATGTAGTAATGAGTTGTAATGTAATGCAGTAATGAGTTTGTTACTGCACATTAGATTACAATTCACTACTGTTACAATTTGAAACTAGGGTAATGCAGGGCAATTTTGTCAGGTTTTACTTTTATGAAATGAATTCCCAAATAACTAAGTAAAAAAAAATTTTGTATATCTAAAATTTTCTCAAAAAAAAAAAAAAAAAGGTCCTTTAGAAAAAAGTGGAGGGGGCACATGATCCCCCCCCCTACATGTTTTTGGTCCTGTGATATTTATCAAGTGGTTGGAGGTGATGTGTACTATGAGGTAGAATGCATATTATACATCTCCATTAGTAATTCAATTGCTTCAATAGCTAAATGACTTGTGATCATCCAAAAATATAAAAGTACTTTTTTTCCATCCAATTTGGTCAAAACCTTATTAAAATGATGTAAAAAGTCAATAAAGATCTCTTGATTAATGTATAGACTTTTACTGCAATTGAACTTTGTAACTAAAGGAAATTTATATGAATCTGGAATTTTTTTCCTTTAAGTATTGAAAAAAAGCGGTTTTACCGCAGTAGTAGAAATAAAAACTCTATTGAGTTTAAATATACGCAGAGTCAGATTAACTACCCATATAGGTAATTAATTGTTTAACTTCGGTTTTTGATGAAACATTTGTTGGTTCCAATGTACAGACTTATAGTGTACCTAATTGTTAATACAAAAGGTAACAATTTCTTAATTTGTACTAAATTAACAAATTGTTACATTATTTTTGTCATATTATAAATTAATGTAACAAAAATAAGGTAACAATTTGTTTCATAAATATGGTAATATATAATATAAGAATATAAAATATATTCTCTTGTACAGAATTATTTTTCCACAAGAAATAATCATATTTTTTACCTGCGATTGCACTTAGCACAAAACCTATAGTTAGTTGGGCTTTTAATTAGTGTTGATGTTCCAGATGCATGATATTTTTCATTTTTATCAGTATAACCATAACTTCTGAAGGCTGTATATATATATATATATATATATATATATATATATATATATATATATATATA